ATTCATTTAAAGTAAGATGAGATATGCAATGTAATGATACATTTAGTGCATAGTGACAAGAAGTTTACTAATTATCAGCGTTATCATTATGAATGAATTGGAGTAAAGTTAGATATTTATGACCAATCAAACAATTCAGGCTCTAAGGATTGCATCTGTTCGGTAATATGAACAATCATGCTATAATAGTGTTCTAATTTAATATTTCATCGGACAAATATTACCGTATAGCACTGCATACAGTACCCGGTGTCTTATTCAAGAACACCATTTTTAAATTGAATAGTATCCGTGGGTACTGTGAGAAACCGGGCACTAATGTCGTCTCAGAAATCGGCGAGTCTATCGCTAACTCTCGTGCACCCTACAGTGGCTAAGTCGAAACAGGCGTGTTAGATTTGGCGAGTGGATTATCGCCCGTAGGTAAGTACTGGTCTCTTCTCTTGAGTCTTTCCTTCAACCTACGTTTGTTCTAATTCTTATCTTTTTTATTGTCTCAACCGGGATTTCACTACGTCGAATCGGGGTTGGAGCTCTTCTCTTTTCGTTACAGTTTACTGGGCACGTGACTATGACGAGCGATCAATTACGGGTTTAGTTTAGTCTTGGGGCGAACGGGTATTGTTAGTGATGGGATTTACGATAGTAACTAGATGTATAAGGCAACACTTTTACTTGTATTTATGGGTCGGGTAAGTGGTTTATGTTTCACCTGGGCGAATTGCCCTTTATTTATAATTAACGGTCTTGTCTATTTACATCAGGGATTTATCTAATATATCAAACATGTCTAATATATCGCATTTGTCTAATTTATCGTATTTATCGCATCTGTTTAATATACCATACTTATGCGATATATCAGATATATCAGATATGTTTGATATACCTGATATACCTGACATGCGTGATCTACATCACGTGATATAGGTCACGTTTTCGGATCTCACATTATATATGATGGATATATCATATGAAGATAATAAATTAAATATAATTATACTTTGGGTTCTATTCAGGAATAAAGTCAGATTGGTGATGAATAATTTAATCAAGAGGGTATTATTTTGGGTGGTGCTCATTTCGACAATCACTTCACCGACAGCCTATTTCAATTCACAGATAAGTTTATTCCACCGACAGTTATTTCACCGACAATCATTTCATCGACAAAATAATTCTAGTCATTTTTGTTAGGGCCAGATTAGAATTAGAGTTAAGATTAGTGCAATTTTTTAAAAAAGCTTGTCGGTAAAATGGACTGTTGTTGAAATACAGTAGTTGTTGGTGAAATAAACTTATCAGAGAATTGATTGTCGATGAAATGCATTACCTTTATTAATAAGCTTAATTTTGTAGCTCGAACATGAGTTTAAAGTTTTCTGATGCTGGTGAAGACTAAATCGCAAAATTAAAAACTTTGTGTTAACATATCGAACCCAAACCCTGACGATAATACATTAGAGATAGAGATAACAAATGTTTTAAAACGTGATCTTAAAAATATGTTTGATTTAAATCCGTTAAAAAATGGGTTAATACATTACCAGATTTTGTATCTATTTTTAGATTATATAATCGACAGCTAATAATCAGATCCCCGGATCAGGTGTAATGATTTTTTAAAAAATTGCCAATAACTCAACATTTTGTCTATTAAACTACCTTTTGCGCACTAATAAAAAAATTTCTTGCGGAATTTTGGTATAGAACATGGTGTTCGATAACTATTATAAAGTTTTATGACTTTAAAAATGGTACGCATATTAATTAGTGTAGATCATCTGATTGGCCCTGTTGGGTATACCATGATCGACATCATTACTATATACAATCAATATTTTTTTTCATCTTTTCTGCCCGCTGTTTTATTCGTCGTATCACACTTCTATATCGCTGGTATACTGCGGAGATTAATGTATTTACCTCGTTATTTCTGTTTATATTTGTGATTTTTTCAAGTTTAGATATTTACTACTTTATTTTATTCTTTTTGTTATAGTATCAGATACACGATTATTTTTCTTGTTGGTTTTGATCAAAACCAATGACTCTCGAAAAACTTGTAGTGCATGTCCAATACAGATAATTCTGGCATTTATTGCATGTGAGAATAGAAGCTAGGCTTTCTTATATACCATGAGGGTTATTTATTTAGCAAGATGACTCGCAACTAGTGATGTGCCATTTATATGATATCCGGATTTTTTTAGCGTACAGTACGTACAGTGTATAGCATGTGCAATATGTATAGTACACGTATGATATATAAACTATCTATATGCAAATTTCGCAAGGAATAATTTTACTTAGAATACAAAAGGCGGTTTCATAAGGAAACTTTTGAGATATGAATGGTTTTATAATTTGTTCTAGAATATTCTAAAAAATTTTTTGCGTACAGTACTATACGCGGCACATCACTACTCGCAACTCTCATCATTTCGAGATCTTTTAAAAAATCAGGAAATAAATGAATTTTTTAAAAAAATAATCGAATATACTATTAAGATAAACTTTCCTTAACCCTTCCTTTAGGGATTTGGTTTTTCTTTCAAATCCCTGATTTTAAACTCCTTTTGGTCACATGATGTAATCTTCCTCGTCATGTGACCTGGACATCAAGCAATTTCGTTTGATGACTGATATATGTCACTATTACCAACAACATTTAAATTATTTTGAGAAAATAAAATACAACTTTAATTATGCACGTGAGTGTTATATTAAAGCCATATGGATTTATACATTTAATTTGATTACTATTATTATTACTGTATTATTATTAGAGATGTGCCGCGTACAGTACTATACGTACTGTACACGAAAAAAATCCGGGTATCATATGAATGGCACATCTCTAATTATTATATACAAATAATAATAAATTAACAAAATGCAAATAAAATATTATTGTTCGCGAGAACTCAATTGTTGAATGCACGATCATGCAATGTTAGTCCGAAATTGCCAATAAAAATCAAGGACGCTAGGTCCCGTACCTGATCTGCATCCAGTGTAACAATACGATTTTTCACTTTTGACCTACATCAGATTAGTAATATCACAAAATATCTCAGCTACGTAAAATTAAAATAATAAATTAGAGGACTTTAAATAGACCGGTTCATAGTCTTCAGTCCAATCCACAATCCAAAGGCTAAACCTACTGACACAGAACTAGAGTTACTGGTGAAACTTTTGGCGGATGGTGGTTAATCAGATTTTAGATAGTCACCAGTTTCACCAACAACTCTAGACCGGACCATAACATCCTTAGAAGTAATATATACGTATGAGGAATGTGTTATAGGAAATATAAGAATGATTTGTAACATAAATATTAGTTCGGGATATTGTGGGTAGTAGAACTGGATTAAATTAATTTGAGAATAAAGAATCCTTAGTTTATAATTGATTGTAATATGTATTATCTGTATAAAGTGTACAAATTATACGAATTATCAATGAAGTTATATGACCAAAAAAAAAATTTTTTTAACGACATCCCGTCTTTATTTTCAAGTCACGAGTTGTTACCAGATGTGCTATTTATACCTATTGGGCTTATTATAAATTCCCCAATGTTTGACAAATCCAAATCGGCACATCATGTCATGATTAGATAATCATATGGGCTGATTTTTTGGAATTTTACATTTTTTTTTTATATTGAATTTTGATCTACTGTTCTGTTACAACCATTTTGGTAGTTGGTTCATTTCATTACGGCGTGTTAGCGAAATTAAGCAAACAATTGGTCACCAAATTTAGATTTTGATTAGTAAATTATATATTAATTAATCAATGTTGAACCTCGAAAAATTTTTTTTTTTTTGGACTCCTGATCTGGCGTACACTTATTTGCGCCGGTGATACAAACCCAAATGTAACCACTGGTGTAACATGAAAACGATGGTTTTTCAAAAAAATAAGCCGCCAACCCAAAATTCTACATAAGAATCACCTTTTACGTTCTAATAAAAAAATTCATCGCAAATTTTAGTATACATTAAGCCTTATTCTAATCCCGATCCCAATCCTAACGCCATGACTCTTACGTACGCGTTATTTATGCAAATAACCAAATAACATTAGTTTTTTCCTTGTTTGGGATTGTATCACCGGCGCAAATAAATAAATCCCCTGATCTGTACCGATAACGAGTCTAACCCATTTTCCCCACAGGCTAACCCATCTTCCCACCTCCGACGCATCTCATTAGACATAGGAATTTATTAAAATGACGCATTGTAACTTGAGGAATGTTGATTATCTCTGTAAAATCTATATTCACATATTAGTAGTCAAATTTTTCAGATTTCGGGCATTTCGCAAATACGCCGTAGATCAAAAATTATTCAAGATTAAAAAAAAAAAATGTAAAAATTCCAAAAATTATCTCATATATTTATGTGAGCAAATTTAAAAATTATCTGTAAATGTCTATCGTTTTAAAGGATAATATAATTCATTTCAAAGTTCTAGGATCTTTTGAAAGAAGGTTACTTAGCAGGCTACGTAAATCTAAATTTAAATTGTACAACATCACATGACCTAATAGCAGTCGCGTCGGTTAAAATGGTTGATACCTTGCAGATAAGAATGATGTTACAGTATCTAGTTTATAATGACAATTGTGTTCTCTATAATATTTAATAGCATAATATTTAATAGCACACAAAAATCCAAAATTAGATAAACTATATTGTGTACTTGTGCGAAATAGATTTAAACACACAATGGCAAGATTCATAACACATACGTACGTAGCTAGATTTAGGATGTTTTATTTGTATATAAGAGTGTAATACATGTATGAACTATAATAAAAATTATATATAATTACATAATAGTGCATACAAATAAAAAAGTTTTTCCGGTTAGACACCATAATATTAAAAATTAAGATGACATCATTTTTTTTTTTGTAAAGAAAAAAAGATTTTTTGTGTTAATTAAAAAAAAATTTTTTTTTTGCCTTTTTTAAATATTGGTTTCTAAAATTCTTCCATATCAATTTCTATTGGTTCCACTTCGACTGGTTCCATTTCGATTGGTTCCAAATCAATCGAGTCTAATTCAATTAGATCCATTTCCATTGGAACCGCATCTACAATAGTAGGTACAGAAGTAATAGGATTATATACAGAAATATCTCCAACACCTTCCGGAGAAGCCACATCAACACAAAAATCTTCACAATCATTACAACTTCCTTCATACATTTCAGAGCTACAACCTTGCCAACCACCGTACTGATTATTACAACCTCCAGATTGAGCTTTTGTTGAAAATGGCATATCCATAAAGAAGGGATAAGGACATGCTTTTCTCCGAAATAAGTGCCGATTAAAATTGAAGGTATAAGGGTAACTTCGTGTATTTATATTTAAATGACCATCTCTATTACAATCAACACTTTGTTCATTTTGTGCAGTAGAAAGACATTCCGAAAACTTTTCACCACAACCACAAACTTGATGCCCATTTTCACCACCACATTTATAACTGTCTATATTCGGTACTATTGGATGATTATAACAAGATAAAAAATGAGAGTTACTAATTGAAATTAATAATAATAATAAAATGAATGTTATTATAAAGCGAGACATTTTGGTTAATAAGAAAGATTTTGTTGTTTGATTTTATTATTTTATGAGTTTTTATAATGCTTTATTAAGTAATATTCTTTTGAAAAAAATATAAATATGGGGTTTTTTTTTTTTTTAACTCATCAAGAATATTATGATAAATACGATGTACTGTACATGAGATTTTTTTGCATAATCGAAATCAAATTATGCATCGATTTGATCTATCGTTATAAATTTGACGCATAACGATAATAATGATTGTTTAGGCAATAATGGATCATGATTTTCTTAGCTGATAGATAGTATTAAAAAAAAAACCTAATCATAAATGCATTATGATCTTTTTAATGTCACTGAATTTTTTACGATACATATGAATGAATTTGGTTTATATGAAGATTTTTTAGAATTAGCAATTAGTGATTAAATCCAACAAGATAATAAATGATAATAAATTCAATAAAAAAAGTTTTGGTACATGAAAATATTTTCTCAAGATACACTAATACTAATATTATCGCGTTTGTTGTTTATAATCTCAACTTATGAGTTAGAGTGTTAATGAAGCAAAAGTGATTTTATTTAGTTAACGTACACGTGTATAACTAATATATATGTTTTTTTTCATTTATCGCTTTATCTTTTACATGACGACGATTAAACCAATTCTTGCCAATTTAATTCAGAAATGCAAAAAAAAAAAAAAAAAAGCAAAAAAAAAAAACTGAAAGAAAGATCGAGAAAAAAATTAATCTTTTTTTTTGTATATCATATAATTGTCCCATATTTTGTTAAATTAGAACTCAAAAAAAGAAAAATAAAAAGTCTATAAATATTTTTTTGACATAATATTAAAAATTAAAGCTTAAATAAAAAAAAAAAAGAGAGATTGAAGTATAATTTCTATATATTAAAACATATCATAATCTATTTTTGTTTATGAAGGAAGTTTAACCGTTGTTTAATTTTAGGATTTTATAGTGTTTTTTTTTTTTTTTTTGTTCATGTTATTTATCTCGAAGTATTAGTTTGATCTTAAATTAAGTAATTACTTAGTGATTTCGTAAAGTAGCCGTCATCGATTATGATCGTAACATAAGATGATGTCTAGAATAAACGTGATCCACGTCCATGTTACCACCTCGTTCAATGTTTGCTCGTTCATTATGTTTATATTCGTCGAGATCGTTATTATTCCATACTTGTTTATATGAAAGATGCGTTGATTGACACGAAGAATTTGATTCAACGTATGGTGAAATCGGGGGTGAGGGTGGTGAGGAATTTGGTGTAAGTGGATTATTAGCGATAAGTTTTACGTAATATTTTGGTGACATGGATTCGGGTGATGAGGTCGGTGGAGAAGGTAAAGTCATTGGCGGTGATGGGGTTTTATCAGATTTTTTTGAAACATCATAAGTGATAGATGAACAGTCAGTAGGAAATTGAGGGTTCATTTGAACCAAATGACGATTATTATCGAGAGGATTCCCCAAATCTGGCGCAGGAGAAAGTAATAATTGAATACCCGCAGAGTTTCCAAAAATTGGCATTGACATGGATTTTTTCGGTTGTTGTAACATCCAAGGAATTGGTAATTTCATGGGATCTTCGCCCAATGATTGCAACAAAGGTGGTAATTGACTTGCATTCGTTTGGCGAGGTCGTGACACGTCGGACAGTGTGCCGGTTAACAGCGGTCTAGGTTTAAGTGGTGAATTTAATTGTGCGGGGGAACATTCCACAATCGGGGAAGTTTCTAACGTGGCGATCGGCGGTAATGATTGTGGAATGGCGACGGTATTAATATTATGCGACGAATTTGTATTTGCGGAGAATTGATTATCTGAAATTCCATTAGTAACTTGATTTCTCATGTTTAAGGGATACTTTGGCACAGGTCGTACGACTTCCTGTCTGATCTCATGAGGGGATTGTAATTCAATATTATCGTGAGGATATGCATATAAATTCATTCGATCTAATATTTAAAAATATTTAAGAAATTATTATTATTTTTTTTTTTTAAAGAAAAGAGAATATTTTCTGTATATTGAAATGAGCAAGATATTTTTTTTACCATGTTTTCGTTGTGAATAATGACCTCTTTGCGTAGGATACGGAAAGTTTCGCGGGGTGTTATGAATAGTATGAGATCGAGAAGTATCCATCCTAGGATCATTGTCAATAATCATTATGGGGTTAAGGGGTACATCATAAGGGGATCTCGACGAACGGACCGAGGAGCTACGTTTCATCATTTGTTCAATTTGAGGTCGTAAACTTGGATTTTTTTCCAAAACATTCTCAATTCTACTAGCCGAACTTTTGATCACCTCGACGGTACCATTTCTAGGACCACGTTTTTTAGCGGTGCCAGTAAATTCACACTGATGACCAGTTCTATTGCAGTTAGTACATGGAGCGACACCAGTGCATTTGACTTTTTTTTTTTGACAAGCCTGGCATGCCACGGTGACTTTCGTTCGATTCATATCGGTTCATCAATAAAATAATAATAATAAAATAAAATAATAATAATAAAAATAATAAAAATAATAATTCTAAAAGAAAAACGAACGTCCTAACAAATGAGATTTTTTAAGGTATCTTATATTTTATTGCTTATAGAAAAAATAGAACGTGACATGAAAACAGTGGAATGTGCACTGTGACCAAAAAAAAACACCTTTGAGGGGTTTTACCGATGCTTAAAAGTAAATACTAGATTTTAATAAAAACAATACTAAAAACTGGTGAGGGCAGAGAATGAATACCAGTAGCGAAAAAAGGAAATGAAATTTGTTGAGGGGTGCAAACTCGAGATAGACAGAATGTAAATAAAAAAAACAAGATTTGTGGTAGTCAAAAAAGTGGCTGGGGGGGAATGAATACAAAGTAGTGTAACAAAATCAAGAACCAAACATGTTTTCCAGCTCATTCCTAATCTGATAAATATGTTTATGTATGACAATGTTTATCGCAACTTAGTCCCTTGTTGGAATAATTGCGAAAGATCTTAATATTTACAAACCATTTTCCGAACTTTGCAGAAAAAAAAACTGCGTTACTAAACCAAACGGTTCTAGAGTTGACCACGAGTTGTACAGGACCAAATAGCATTAAGAATAAATAATCATTAGTTGGTATCACGTAGTTGAAATAATTAGGTCGTGCGATTCGTGTAACCTGATAAAGTTCATATTTTTCCAGGGGAAATATTCGGCTCTTCAGTCGGACTAATTGTAAACTTTAACCAAGAGTATGAAAAAAAAAAGATAAATTATTGTATATTTGTGTAATGCATAGCATATTCATTCATTTAACCCCACTTTCTTTGATGAAAATTTATCCACGTATGTAATCATTGTGTATATGACAGGATTAAGCAAACAAATAATGATTTCAATAATATATATATATTTTTTAAAAAAAGTGGTATGCTATTGGTGAAAGTAAGATTTACATGGAGAAACGAAAATGTAACAATGATGCATTGAATATTATTTGACCTACCTAAACAATAAAAAAATATAATTTTTTAAGCTGTATGTTAATTATAATATCCTTGTTTTCGAAGGTTATGAAAAAAAAACCAGATCTCGATAATGTCTATAGTGTTAATGCAACGCAAATCTTTTCCATGGGATTCAGGGGAGGTAGGCTTAATGGAGCTCCCATGTGACTTGATTAATTTATTTTGTTTATCGTGCAAAGCAGATAAGCCAGCAGTAAATAAGATATCGTTAGACCGTCATCCGAACATTCTTGTTTGTTTGTGCATTGGCGCAACCAATATCTTTATTATTGGTTTTGTGCAATATACATTAATTTATTCATTAATTCACAACAATCTGAAAGCATCTGCTTATTCTTGATTCATTATGCATTTAAGAACAGTGTAAACCAATCGTATTTTTTCATCGAATATTGTGTTTGCGTCTGGATTTTTTTGTTTCGACCCAAGTTCCTTTATTTGCAAAAAAAAAATAACATAATGACATGAGAAAAAATTTCTTATATTGGCTGATAAACAATTCTATATACGTACTATCAATTATTAATCTCCTTATGACGTAAACACCTTGTTTATTTAATAAATATAATAAATAATAAAATAAAAATAATAAGAATAATAAATATCAAATAATAATAATAATAAAAATAATAAAATAAAAATAATAAAAATAATAAAATAAAAATAAAATAATAATAAATACCTTATGATATAGACTAGGGAATATATTAACGGAAAAACATCGCTAAAAAGTTTTTCAGGTTGACAGCAAGTTTCAACAAAAAATTTTTAACCTGTTCTCCCCAAGCGGAATTATCTATGTTCTAAAAAAGGAATATTCGGAAAAACGTATTACATAAAAAAAGATATCTTTGGTATTTGAATAGCATTTACTAAGATGTCAGGTGACGCAAACCTTAATCATGTAACCATTAATATTAATTGCAGAAATAACTATACTGGTGCTGATCCAACGATTAAATCTCTAATTTCACTGCAGGTGAGGCGTGCATGAAATATTTATGCAGATTTTACCTTTTTCCGATATTAGATGGCCACCTTGACTCTAGAATTCGATCACAAAAATTAAGTTATATTCGCCATTTGTACCTATTCCTGACCGAATATCTGACCAAATGTCTGACCGAATGTATCTGATTTCGACACTGCTATTCCTGTACATTCCTGGTACATGCCCATCAACCAACCCATGTTACTTCGGTTTTTTGCGAGGCGCAAAGGCTGATTTCCATAATGAGTGAACATGGCCTAAAATGTAACAAAAGAATCATTCTAAATAGGTCCATTTAAAGTAATCTTTGTGTTTTGTTTTCGCTAACCTCCATATCTTGATAAATATATTTGGCGCCAAATTTTTGAACCCCTTTTTACCCCGTTTTGTTTGGTTTTGTTTATTCCAAATATTACGTATCCTCTATAAGAATAATAATGGTCTATCGGAATAATGGGTAAACGTTTAAAAGCTTTTTGTTTTTTTTTGGAACCAATAAAATCTTATTCAATTTTTATTGGTCCCTTAATTTCTCTATCTTCCATTTAATGCTTTGATTGGATCAAATTAATGCTTTTAGCAGGATTCAAACCAGTTTCTCATTAATCTTATTTTTGAATTAAAAATTTAAATTAATATATTTATTTTTGTTTATATATTGTGCTCATGATTTCTTCCAAGATTCGTTTTATCAATTTATTATGTAATATCAAAAGTATTGATATGCATTAAAGATATTAAATATCTTTTATTCTCTAATGTTTATATAAAAACACGCGATGATCCAATGCCATAACAATAAAATAACATGTACAGTTTGTATTCGATGCAATCGAATTAAACGAAGAACGCACTGTCAAAATAAGATTGCTTCGATTCCAAACATTGATCATTTCTGAACCCTGTTTCAGAATTGGATCAAAGTTTAGCCGACTTTTCGTATCATTTATGCATTTAATTCGTATATATGCATATATATATGCATATACTTATATATTTGCATTATCTTCATTTCATTAGTTAATCGTATTCTCACGTGCCACTACACATGGCTTGATAATTGTAAACATGTAAGCATTAACAATGTTTTGATCGGTGAAAGGATCTGGCGCGTAGATTCTATTCTAGCTGTTATTGGCCACAATTATCCACTTTTCTTACGCATGGCATATGCAATCCATAATTTATCTTATCAAAAGATAAGATAACAACCTCACTGAACATGTGACTAACTTTCTTAATATGTATTTTAATGTTATTAATTTATTAAATATGTTTAAGCGTTTATTGCTATAATTATATTAATTCATATCGCAGAATGATATCATCCATCATCATCATTATTATTGTTATTATTATTTTGCTCTCAATTTACTCGTTAATCGATATCTTGCCGAAAAATTCCGTCAATAGTATTGATTGGTTATATGTTTAATTTTGGGATGTAACGTTAAACCAAGTTTTAATTTCAGCCTATCTTACTATTAAATTCATGAAACAATTTAATAATCCATCATATTGTCTAAGAATCGTAAACAAATTTACGTAGATCCAAAAAAGTTCTCAAGTAGACGATTATGATCTGCTTATAATGGCAATATATTCTTATGCTATGATTTACATATGTATAATCAGGCCACATTCGCTTATTTGTAATATGTTACACCCTATGTGTATTTCTAACGAGCAATATGAATCTGCACATACTGTATAAGAGACTAATAATCAAGCATACGGTTCTGCTAAAAAAAAATTGTTCAATTTTATTTAATGGTTATCTACTTATACATTTCCTGGATTTGGCAAAAAAAATTTGAAATTTTAGTTTTTTAAACTTTAATAATATTCAAACCTAAATAAACATGACTAGTGATGGGCAATGCGCATGATTTTTATAATGCCGGCGAAGCAATATAATGCTGGTAGATAATATGAGCCGGAAATTTTCAATAGGTTCCGGAAGATTCCGAATAATCCCATGCCATGAAATGAGAAAAAATTGGAATTTGCACATCACTAAACATGACTTTAGCAATATAAGGGAGATGGGGTATTCTGGTCAGGAAAGGTATTGTGGCCACCAGAAGTATCTCATGATCTCTCGATCCAAATCAAATGATTTTTACACCATTCGATTCGTCTTGGTGAGATGTTTCGAATGGTATAATAATTGCTTAATTTGGATCACTGTAACTGTATCATGAGATATTGGCGTTTGAATATTTTACGTAGCTTTATTTTTTTAAAACTCAAATTTATAAAATATTCAAACATCGATATCTCGTGACACAGTGATCCAAGTTAAACGATTTTTATACCATCCAAATTGTCTCACTGAGACGAATCGAACGGTATAAAAATCATTTGATTTGGATCGTTAGATCACGAGATATAATAATTTTTAGCTTAATGTGGCTACAATACCTCCTTTTACCTTATATTCTAAAAATTCAATGTTTAACACGTTAAGAGTAAAAACAAGTAAAAAGTAAATAACTCGATATCCTTATTTCGCAAACACAACGCACTATTTAAATGTTATAAAATAATTTTAAATTTTATCGGTTAATATGATACATTAATCTATAATAAAATTTTTAAGATATTCAAAAATCTTAATTAAAAGTTTAATTTTACATATTTGCACATGCATTAAAATTAGTAATTAATATTATATAATTTGTTTTCTTATAATTTGATTTATATATTATTTGTTTTTGATCAAAAATTTATAGATAGTATTTTTAAAAAATAGGATAAAATTTAATATTTATTTTTAAATAAAGAAAGAAGCTTAAAAGACAATTAACATGCTTGTCACAGAAAGGAGAAAACCTTTCTGGTATGGTTTTAAGTAGTTAGATGAGCAGTCTATCTTTAACTAAGATAATGCAACAGATTGCACTTAGATGTCAGTAGGGTGGTTAAATGATGCTAGACTTAGATATTGGAAAATTCTATGTAAT